AAGACCAGTGGTACCGTGAGACTCAGTGTACTGTCCAGCACCAATCCCGCCAGCTCCTGCAGTGTTACCTGCAGTGCCGAGGCGGTCAGAGTCAACACGTGGGTCAGCCTTGTTCATCATGCTGGAGTTGTGAGGACCAGATGGATCTGTGCCGTGGGTGGTGCCTGTGGTTGATGAACCAAGACCAGTTCCATGTGTGGTGTTGTGGGTGGTGCCATGAGTGCCAGAGGTACCGAGACCAGTGCTTACACCGGAGCTGTGGTGGTCGCTGGCGAAGCCACCTGCACCAGTAGTACCAGTGGTAGTACCTGAAGTGTTGTGGACAGAAGGGTCGGCAGTGTTAGCAGCGTGGGAGCTGTGAGGGCCAGTGGGGTCATCTGAAGAGAGTCAGTAAGGTTTCAATGGCAGTGTAGAAGAGATGTACTCACCATGGGTCTTGTCCTTGTGCATGACCTGGTCGACCTTGGCCTTGACTTTCTCCATTACTCCTGACATGATTGCTGAGTTGTGTGTAGGTTGAGATGGGTGAAGGGGGTGAAGGGGGTGAAGTGGTTGATAAAGTGAAGAGTTGATTGAAGTGTTTGATTGTTGAAGTTGTTGTTTGGTTGTGTGATGAGAGAAGGTAAGAGAGTTCAGGTCCTCTTATATATACATTGGTGAGGGCAAGAGCAAGAACGCTTTAGCTTTACGTCATGTCTATGGAACCGTCACCTGTCAGCGGACGTTGTACCAACCGAAGCAACAGCTCCACAATCCCTGTTTCTCACGGCCCTTTGTCGTGGTCAGCTAGTGCCACAATCAACCCCAGCCGCAAGTGTAAGTTCGCGTCACTGCAGGATTGACCTCGACGTCATGGGTAATTTGAATGCCATGGCCAAACCTGCCCAATTCTCTCTCTATGCGGCAATAGCATGGTGATCTTGCGCTCAAACTTTCAGCTTAGACATGCCGTAGCGTTTGATGATTTCTACCGCCGCCACAATTATGGGCTAATTACGCAGCCACTCTTGCTGGACCCCTCATTGAGGGGCTCTGCGATGGATGAAGCTAACAACTAACCGTTTCTGCCGTGGTGGGGTTAGCTCTTCGACGGCGGTGCGTCATTCTACGATCCGACACACCAAAAGGTGGGGAACGGGAAAGCTTAGCAACTACTCCATTTCCTGATTCTCCCCATCTTGCATCACGCCTTGCTGGCCATTGACGCGCGTGCGGTACCAGATCCGCTGCAAACCTTGCTTACACCGCCACAGTTGACCGCGAAACAGGGCACAGTGTCATAGTGGGTACATGACCGCGAGGCCTAGAAGCCTTTGCATGGACATGCCCTTGTTACAAGACACAATGCCTTGGAAACGCGTTCCTGGGCTAATACCCACAAGTCAGTCGTTGCTGTGCCTTCTCGCAATCGGGTTTCCTGGGGGAACGCGTAAAGCTTGCATACGATGACGTCGTACCTTGGGCCCATGCAAATACTTTGCAATATTTTCACCAGCATATCTCGCAGATCATCTCAAGTCCAGAGAGATCTCCAAGATATCGAAATGCCTCTATAGAGACGATAGTCTGCTTCGTCGAGAGACGTTGTCTTGCGTAAGAATGAGCTTTGCGTGTGTGTTGACATGGAAGCTTGGGCCAAGTACGCGCCTATGACGTAGTGTGTATAGCTTCGACCCAACAACTTGACGGCCACGAACTACCTCCAAATGTCTATCACGACTGACCTTTACGTTCCTAATACCTACCTTTTCTAGCACTTCTGTTCACCCTTTGCCAAAATGTCTGAATCCAGGATGAGAGTCCCCGACAAGATCAAGGAAGTCGCGAAGGAGGACTTCGAACAAGCCAGGGAACTTGCTACAGATGCTGTTCGCTCGGGCGCATATCTCTACCCCTTCAAGGTACGCGTCTCAAATCTTCCGTCTCAGACCCACCGGGAGGCTAAGTTATACCTTCCTTGTGTGGGGCTTTGGATAAGCAAGACAGGACACCATGGAGCTGGGAAGTCAAAGTGATACGACTAACACAACCTCAAGGGAATCGCCTACTTCTTCACGCACCGTGCACTATGGAAGCCTCTCGCCGCCAAGCTCGTTCCGACTGTGTCCCTAGGACTGGGTGTTACGGCGATGATGTTTGCTGTCACCTACGTGCCCCAAGCCGCTCTGCTCTCCATCTTCAACGGCCCGCTCGCCATCTTCACCACCATACTGCTTGTTCTTAGTGAATCCTCCACCATCTTCTCGGTCCTAAGCAAGAACTTCCTCATTGATGATGCTCTCATCGACACCTTTGATGGCACCCTGGTCTGTCGCAACCAGACGACGTTGGTATCAAACGAGCGCCAGGTGAAGTCAGGAAGCGATCCGATCGGAAAGTTGGGCAAGCTCGTCACCAAGCCTTTTGCCAAGTTCACCCCTAGTGCTATCGTTCGGTATTTCATGTACCTGCCGCTGAACTTCATTCCTGTTGTCGGTACCATACTGTTCGTCATCCTCCAGGGACGCAAATTTGGTCCCACCGCACACGCTCGGTACTTCCAGCTCAAGCAGATGAAGAAGCAAGAGAAGGAGCGATTCGTTGAACAACGCAAGGCTGCATATGCCAGGTCAGTCTACCCGTTTACATATACCCCAACCTTGCTAACGTTTGCTAGCTTCGGTATCCCTGCTGTCCTCCTCGAGCTTGTACCTGTCGCCGGCATTTTCTTCTCCTTTACAAACACGGTCGGTGCCGCTCTCTGGGCCGCAGATATGGAACAAGGCAACACTACCGCCCCCAATCTGCGCCAGCAAGCCGAGGCAGCAAAGGGCAGAGATGAGTTGTGAGGGGTTCACTGTCCTTGAGATGGTGATACATAACCTCACAATCTTTGCTAATAACAATAACTAAGGGACTTTGAACCTTATGTTCGTTATGGGCCCGACGGGCGCTTCAGATATCCGTGGAAACC